TGTGACGTAATTAACTTGATAATCAGAAGGTGACAAGCACTAACAAATGTCTGTTTTACCAGAATCATGATCACAATAGTTAGGTGCACATTAATAAATATGAATACAATGCGAAAAGTGGAGTGAACCAAAGGGGGGGGGGACTTATCGTTTAAGAACGACTGTTGAAAGTTCCTGAGTGAAGGTCCGCACGCGGGACCTCTCTGCAGTATAGCTGCTACACGTGTTCCGTAGCTGCCCGTGGAAACTTGTGAAGCTTGGTTGACTTCCTTTCCTGTACGCGCGTGTTCTTGGTCCGAGTTACATGCCTATTTATTATGTGCAATGTGAAGTTGCACGAACATGAATACAACTAGACCTGATATGGTTGAATTTCGTAACTCGGCGCGTGACGCAGGTGGTAGCCGCGTGAACAAAATAGAAAGGATATTGTAGTGTACATGATGTCGGTTACAGCTGCGGGTGAGGCAGGCATTGTTACGTGAACTAGTGAGTGACTGCTACAGGTCCACGGTGATTCCACAACGTCTCGCACACGGGGCTCTTGAATAGAGTTGAAAAGCAAATTAAACAGAAGCCAGTGGATCATCCGGAAAGGGTTCCTCTGTACAGATACATACCATTAAAAGTCTGTCAAGCGAAGGGGATAAGAAATCATGAAAACATCTTCCAAATTTCGCCAGACAATAACTCGACAACAAGTCAAAATGCCACCCTATGCGGTTTTTCAGACGTCCGCGAAATAATCTAACGATACCAGGGAAATCCAATCCTGAGGGTTGGAAAACATGCCACGTCAGGGCATTGCACACTTGTCCTTTCAACGAATGGAATACAAGCGTGGCTACACGCATCGGAGCCTGAAAATCACACATAGAAATCTTGGGAGGAAAATACACTGGTCTGTTCTCAAATCGGAGAAGATTAAACATATTTTTAGCGTGACAAACACGCGCCTACACCGTGCTTAGGATCACCGGGATTCGGACTATTTTCGCCTGTCTCGTCTGCGTCGTACGTGCACGCAACTGATCCAATCAAAAACTCCGAAACCACGCCACTGGAAACACACATTCATCGGCTCAGAATCCACATCGATGGTGCACAGCTACAATGCGTATTCGATAGATTCGGCGAGCGAGGTGTTTGCTGGAATGGGACACAAGCCCGAACAATGAGTCGGAGCGTTTCATTGAGTCTAGGACAAGATCAATACGGGCATGGGACACGTTTGTGGGCCCAAGGAAGCGGAATGATGAAAGACGCAGATAACACTTGCACACTTTTCCACCATTTAGCGAACATATACAGCTGATCTAATAGTCATCGTCATCGAAAAACACACTTTTGACGTCACTGCCATGTGTAGAACTGCTTTACGTATTCACTTACACTACGGAAACATCGGCAACCAGGTGAGAGATGGCGTACGACGAAAGCCATTACGTGGTTCATTTTGTCCCCCCCCCCAAAATCCGGTCATCGGACCAGACATAAGAATGGCCTAATTGACAAGCAACAGTATTATGTAGACCACTTGTGCGTTTGAGGGCACGCATTGGCACCACGAAAAAAATTATTCACGAATTACCGCTGGGATATGAGAGCGTAACAGTCGACTGATATAAACTCAGATTTACTTGAGAAGGGTACATAGAGGTTGGTAAGATGTGACGGTTGCCTCACAATCCAAAGGAAGTGTGAGGTTCGGAAGTGTCTAGGGTGCCCAAGCGCGTACACTAGTCATTCAACTATCGGCAGTGGACTCCTGTCACTTGTCCAGAGACACGAGCGACAACTTGCTAGAGCGTAAAACTATGATAAGGTCCAGAAAAATCGACGAGTGAAATGCAATCTTTGATATTGTGACTAGGAAAGGGAACCGGAGACCAATGCGATCTCTGTGGAAGAGTGAAAACTGTGACAAACTCGAGTGTACGTCTATGGAAAACCTGGTACTGGATTCTTTCCTATTGTTCGACTCGCTATCGATTCTGTGTCGTCATCAGATGCGGGGACTTAAGTCCTGACATTTCTCTGGACTGTTGTCCTTGTACGGACAGCGAAACAGGCTCCTTGATTATAAGGAGTCCGCACAATTTCGTTCACAGACTGACTGGTACATTCCCAAAGGAACCTTTGCCTACAGAATTTGCGTACGTCAGTGTACCCAGGCATGCTTTTCATTTGTTCGACAAGAAACCTTGCGAGCAGTTTTATAATCAGAAAATGCCGAATGATGCAGGATGTGCTTCGCTCACTAAGGTAGTTTCTCGAGAGGTAGTGTCTACTTGGATATACATACTTTTCCTACTGTATTCATGTGCCTTCATCACAAATTAGGCTTTCATTATCACAACTCGAACTGACTCAAAATTACTGAACGAGACGTTCGTCGTTCGAACACAACTGCAGCTTCTAGACTGCTCCAGTGTAGGCTTGGGCAACCTGGCAGTAGCTCAGCCCTTATGCTTATTACGGATGGCATAGCAGCGAAGCAGCTGAACGATAATTTTTATATTATCACGGTTATTCTCATACCATCACGGCCAAACTGGGAGATGGAATGGACTTTGTCTTAGCTCACAAGAGACAGTAGGCATCTAAACGCATCCAAGCTACCTGGAGACCAACTGACGAACTGCACACCACGGAGGTTGGAAAACAGCCACGTATTGTGACGCCTTTAATCAAGGGAGCCATAGTTTCAAAAGCACATCGCGGCAACAATGTTCATAGTTGCTTTAAGGTCACTCAAACTCAGCTTTGACCGCCTGTTCGTTTGCGTAACTTTGAGAGAGACAATTCGCCGGCACGCGATGCAACAAAATATGCGACAAATCAAATGTCAACTTCGCGCATGAGGTTTTTTCGACCTGAGGCAACAGAGACTTACGACGATGAATGTATTCGTGAATTATCGATTATATAATGCCTAGGTTTCACAACCTTCAAGGTCAGGAAAGTGGGAACCAACCAACAACGAGCAAATTCGCTTAACCACCACCGGAAGAGGGGCTACGAGGAATGGAACGCCCGTTTCTTTGTGGTAGTCTCCCGGAAGGGAATACTGGACTACATATAAATAACGTTTTTAGTACAGAAACCAAGCAAATACGATAAATGAGGATTTGAAGGAAGTGAATGTATGAAACTGGGTACCAATGGATAGATCGAAAGGCGCCCGGTTACTAAATCTTCCAAACACGCGGAGTTAAACCATATCACTATACACCTTTGATAAATCGATGTGTATACTGCGGCACAAATACTTTGAAAAGTTATTGTGATGCTTAAGACATATGTTGAGCCCCATAACACCCGGTGCCTCCTAACCTGAAAAGGTTTGTTGCAACGGGAATACCACATGACAAGGGAGTAGCCATGTGACTGAGGGGGTAAGGGCCTGGCGCAAATGGTGAAAGACGATAGTTATATCGGGCACACAAACACAGCTAATACGTCTGAATAAGGCATTGTAATACCATCCTAGATACATAAAGGTTGTACTACCTGAAATAAAGCATTCAGAATATTTGTGATTTTGAGTGATGACCCAATAAGGAACAGCAAGCTGGCTCTCGTACCATGTGATTCGACTGGTTAGACAGCCGTGCTTTTGGCACTGAGCTCAACTAAAAATCCCCAAAATGTTCCAATTCAAACTTTGATCAGGTGAGATACTATTCGTTAGCTTTTATATGCAATTAAGTTTAGTTGCAGAGCTCACGGGATTTCGAAACTACGTTGCCCAAATTCGCATTCTGGTGTCTTGGAAAGACACCGTTTTTGTCCTTTCTACGCAGTGGACAGACGTCAAACGAAAGCACGAAGTGCAAAAACTTCACGCTCACTTCACCATTGCCTCCACTCCGGCTTTTGCGGCTGCACTCGGAACGACATAAGCGGAACCAGTCTGCGTGTACACAGCTGAGATGGCCAAGAAGGTTCCAGCTGTGATAGGGAAACGGAAAGATGTGAGAATGATTAACAATCCACTCGCAACAGAGAACGAAACACGTATCGATCGATGTCTTGTTGCCGTAGTAAGGCGAAAAATGCTTAGGTCCTGTTTGGTAAACACACATGGTTACGAACAGAAACCCCTCTATAACGCTCCAGGAGAAAATAAAGCAACTATACAATTGCACGAGGTTGACGACGAAGGACTAACACGGAATTATTATTATTATTATTATTGTCAGCTGTAATAACCGCGTACTCGTCGTTGAGTGGTTGTAGCTGCCGCAGTTTCGTTCACCGATGATTTGGGGGGGGATAGGTAGCTGTGCATTGCAGGCGGTAGATGATAAATAGGTGCATAAATCCAGCACTATCAGTGGGCTGTCAAGTGAGGTGGGGGGTTGGAAAAGGAGCTATGCATTGAAGGCAATAGCTTGGATGCACGAGCGCACTTGAGGGCGCGACTGGGCCATGTCTGACAATGTCTCTATTCGTTGATGTGGCCGGTCTCGGGGTCCCCATCCAGGAAGACGGCAGTGACCAGCGCAGCTGAGTGCGGAATAGCATTCTGCAATACCAGCGAAGGCATGAAAGCATGGTTACTTCATGGACCCGAAGTTCCCCATACGGCTGCTGATCAACCTAAAACATACGCTCAAGTAAGCTCCTTAAGAACTGAGTTAAATGTAACGGAGTTAGATCACTTGGCAGTACACTTTTCCCACGATGCTCTCTTCAGAGGAAGGCCCAAGCGATGAAACACCAGGAGAGAAGCTGAGATTTTCAGAACATGAAAGCAAGGTCCCGCTTCTTTAAGATCACCGCCTAGCAGATATCCAAGCAAAAGGAGCAATTCCCATTGCGCTCAATTTTTCAAGGTGATTCCGAGCGAAATGAGTTGAGAATCAAACAGGAAAAACGAAAGCATTCAGTTAGTTTAAGAATATGTATCTTTAGACGCAACACACAACTCATCAGTTTGTTGGAGGTTCTTCAACAGCCAACGATCGTTTTCGCCTCTCGTGAGGCTCATTAGGTAGGACCAGTTCCCATTTGCACACGAAATTGATTTTTTTAGATTTGGCTGAATACAGCTGAATCTCCCGTTTAATGGTGGTCTACTTCAACTGAGTGTGCTGCACCAAGTCGTTTCATGTTTCAATTGATACGGCATTCGAGATACTGCAATACATTGCTGTCTGGATGTAACAACCGATTCATAAGGTTGCTGAATACCTTCAACAGCAGGAACATCGTAAACCAGTAATTCGGCTGGATTCAGTTGAGTCTCCTGTCAAAACCAGATTTGTATGCAAATGAGAGCGGGGAGACAGAGAGTAGGCGACATCCTCATCCACATTATCGACCGTATGATGCTCGCTAGATAAAGCACAGTGTTTAAAGTGCCATCCTTTCAAGATAAGCGAAGATGCGACAAGCAACTAAGATTGTGCGGCTGAACGCATATTAGGTGCTCCGGTAGGGTGGTTCTGAAACTATGCCTCCTAAAAGAAAGTAGGTTTTAGTACCCAAAAGGGTCTGTCACAAAGACAATGGACCTTACCGTGGTGTGGCGGTTTGTGCACCTCAGCGACCCATTGAGCTGACCCATTGTCCCCGCGACACACAGTCTCTCATACCAAGTTGGTCAATGGTTAGAGGTCTGACGAACACAATCTTCAGGTCCTCCAGGTTGAAGGTTGGAACATGTGTGGCGACGTGTTCCGTAAAAATGATAAGGTACTTGCATCTCTGCCTTGCGGTTAGCTTTTTGAGCCAGAGGCTTTGGTTGAGGACCCTAATCGTCCTCCTGTCTAGGTGTGGGCGCCATGGCAGTATCCCAGCCCTCATACAACCATGACATTCACGACTAGCAATATTCTCATGCCACATCGGCCGTCGCGTGGTGCTATCAGCCGGGTCACCTTATTTGCTGCATACAGCAGGGCGGGTAAGCGGAAACAGGCTACTTCTGACTCCTCCCTTCTTTGTCCTTCACATACTTTTTCTTCCCCCTCTCCCCACCCCATTAATAACTCTCTCATTGGAGGTCCGGCACATAGGACTGATGAGTCCGTTCGTCTTGCGTTGGTTTTGTGTGCAATATCTTCTCGTCATATGGCACCGACATCCTAAGGTACCTACAAATCAATTTTCAAGCCTCGACACCCAGCCAATCTGACCTCCTTCAATGTCCGCACTCTGAAGCAAGCAGGACAACAAGATGCTCTCACACTGGATTCGCCTGACTTTGAATTGTGCTGTGTCTCAGAAACGAGAATTCAAGATGCAAGCACAGTGATTGAGTTAACTGCCCCGTCAGTCTCCACTCGCTTCCGGCTACGCACCTCTGGTGATCCAGAGGCTGCTGCGGTGGGATGTGCAAGGGTTGGTATTGTGCTAAGTCACCGGGCGGAAGTATCCTTACTTGACTGGATACCTGTTGATAGTCGCCTCTGTGCAGTTCGTCTGGTAACGTCTGTGAAGAAGTCTCACAAGCGGGAAGTTGGTCGTTGTTTATTTACCGTGTCTGCTTACGCTCCAACTGACCGTAGCCTGCACGCCGTCAAATGCTCCGTTGCGGCGAGCTAGAAGCTCAGTCATCGTGTTGGTTACCGGAGATTTGAATGCACAAATGGGCATGCTTAGCGTATCTGAGACTCAATGAGGAGGATTGGACTCGGTACATACGGAAGGGGGGCAGCTGTGTGCTAATCGCAGGCTGTTTTTATGGAGTACTTCTGAAATAACCGAAGTCGTCTGGCCACATGGTGTCTCCCAACGACATGCGGGCCACAAACTCCAATCGATCACATTGCCATCAGCTACCGACGACGCGGATCAATAACTAACTGCCGGTTGTTCTGGGACGTATTTATGGGTTCCGACTACGCACTCGTTCGGAGTCACTTCTACCTACGTTTCCCTGGACCGCGTACGGTGCGGACAAATGACTCGGCGACTGAGAGACTGGCAGATCTGAACGATAGACGAATTTACCAGAATCGTTTTCTAGAATCTCTTCTAATGCTCCACAGTCAGATGCGAACGCATACTGGGACGAGATTACTACGTCCTTGCATAGTGCTGAGTGGCACGGCACCACCAGGCGCACTCACGCTTTGGATATCAGACCGAACAATGGCACTGCTTAAATCTCGGAGAATCACCCCAACCGATACCGAACATAACTTGACGCGACGAATTATCAGACGTCAGGTGAAAGTGAGCGTGCGAGTCCCCTGTGAAGTATGATGGACACAGAAAGCCAAAGAAATAGAGGAGGCCCAGAAAGTCGGTAATGCTCGAAGATTATTTCAATTGATCCGTGCGACCGGTCCCCGGAAAACACATGTGAGCGAAACCATCAATGATGGGAGAGGAGTGACCATCTCGAATAAATAAGAACGCCTCGACCGTTGAGCCGAATACTTCGAACAGCAATTGAAATGACCACCAGCTGATACTCATCTGGCGACCATAGGTGACGTAGAACACTGAACGGTGAACGTGGAACCGCCTACGGCTTCGGAGGTTTATGACTGCATATGGTCTCTCAAGCGCCACCGAGCTCCTGGTCCAGATGATCTCCCATCCGCATTTTTCAATGATCGAGATGAATTCCTCCGTCAGCGCTTGTCTGATCTGTTTGCTTGCTTTTGGGAAAAGGAGGGTCAGGATAGTACCCATCCTCAAAAAAGGTCGTATAATTGTGGCAACCACAGGGGGGTCGGCTTGACTCCGATCGTAACGAGACTGTTGGCGTCGCTTATGCTTCGTCGCCGTACGGGCTCGTGAGACAATGACTCCAGAGCAGCAGACGGGATTCCGGGGTTGCATTGACCAAATCCTCACACTCCGTCAGGGGCCAGAACGACATCATACGTATAAGCGACCCACAATTCTAGTAGTCCTGGATTTCCAAGGCACATTCTATTCGGTCGAACAGTGTGTTCGTTTTGACATGTTTGACCACCAAGGAATGCCCCACACGTTCGTTCTTAGACTTCAAGACGTGTGAGTATACGCCGAGCTCCACAAAAGCTTCCGTACACAAAGTGGTGTCCGTCAGGGATGCCCTGGGATGACCCATCAGGGATGAACGATGGAAAGTTCGCAAAAACCTGGTGTTCAAATAGCTTGTGAAGAAAACACTGTCGATCTAACGTACGCAGATGAAATCGTTCTCATGTTCGATGAGGAGAAGGCGCAGGTGTTTTTGGATGAACTGACCTAAGTCATTCCGTCCCTTGGTATGCACTTTGCACCCACAAAGTCATACTCGTGGATATGCAGTCTCTGAAAACGCCACTCACAATCTGGGAAGAGGTACTGGAAGTTATGGAGTGTTTTATGTATCTTGGAAGTTGTATTAGTTCTGACTGTACCGTACGGGTTCGTAAGACAATGACTCCAGAGCAGGAGACGGAATTCCGGGGTTACGTTGACCAAATCCTCACACACCGGCAGGGGCTAGGACGACACCATACGTATAAGCGACCCACAATTCTAGTAGTCCTGGATTTCCAAGGCACATTCGATTCGGTCGTACAGTTTGTTCGTTTTGACACGTTTGACCGCCAAGGAATGCCCCGAACGTTCGTTCTAAGACTTCCGGACGTGTAAGAGTATACGCCGAGCTCCCCAAAAGCTTCCGTACACAAAGTGGTGTCCGTCATGGATGCCCTGAGATGCCCCGTCAGGGATGAACGCTGAAAAGTCCGCAAAAGACTGGTGTTCAAATAGCTTGTGAAGAAAACCCTGTCGATCTAGAGTACGCAGACGAAATCATTCTCATGTTCAAAGAGGAGAAGGCTCAGGTGTTTTTGGATGAACTGACCTAAGTCATTCCGTCCTTTGGTATGCACTTTGCACCCACAAAGTGTAGTCACACTCGTGGATATGCAGTCACTGAAAACGCCACCCACAACCTGGGAAGAGGTACTGGAAGTTACGAAGTGTTTTATGTATCTTGGAAGTTGTATTATCCTTTGTTATTTGCACCCACAAAGTGTAGTCACACTCGTGGATATGCAGTCACCGAAAACGCCACCCACAACCTGGGAAGAGGTACTGGACTGGACGAAGTGTTTTATGTATCTTGGAAGTTGTATTATTTCTGACTGTAGTGTAACAGATGAGGTTAGTGCACCAATATCCAAGACCCGAATGGATTTTGCTAGTTTGAGACACTTATGGTGTCAGAGTGCTTTATCCCTGAATCGCAAGGGATGTGTGTATCAAGCTACAGTGCCGACTGTTTTGTTGTATGGATGTGAGACTTGGCCTATTCAAGCAGCGGAACTGAGACGTCTTCAGTTGTTCGACAATCATTGTCTCAGCACCATAGCCCGTGTGGGTTGGTGTCGGTGTATCAGTGACGAGGCAATTATAAAGCGAGTTTTCGGTTGGGCAACGGGTACTTCCATTGAATAATATATCCAGCATCAGAAGCTGCGTTGGTTGGGACATGTGTTGCGTATGCCTAACCATCGCTTGCCGAAGAGAGTGTTGTTTTCCATGCTTAATTCAGAGTGGCGTAAGCAGGGAAGTGACCAACCCTTGACTTGGCAAAGGAGTATAAAGGAAATCACGAAACGCTTGGGTGCTGTCAGTGCTACTAGCCTTCCAAGATGGGTACCACGTGATCCTCATGGGGCTGGTTGGAGACGCCGCAAGATATGACTGCCAACCGATGTCAGTGGCATTCTTATTGCCAGTTTCTATCCAGATTGCCTGAATGAATATCTGGAGGTGTAGGCACCTCGGAATGATTGTGGTAAGCTAGCACTAAGTCCCTTCCCCGTGCACCTTTATTCCTTTCTTTACAATAAGGCTTTCAAAGAAATCATGGTTGTACGGCAGTGAAGCATCGGTGTTGAACACTGATGTCATGTTGTTAATGATGCTGATGATGATTCCAGCTGCCCATAGAATTCAGTGTAAACAATCTCGGCCACCCTAGTCCATTAACCTTGACTCGGAGTCACTGATGCATGCTTTGGTAGCAGAGCTAGAATCTCTTATGTCAACTGCAGCAATAGATCAAAGTTTCTGGAGGCTCATTTTGGACGTATTTAGTATGGTACCAGAACGTCTACACCAATTATTCCTGTGTTTGGAACGTGCCGTAAACAGGACCTCAGAAGACTGCCCGAACTCATTTAAAAACCCGTTGATTAGTTGACGTGCTACATCACCCATATTACGGGGTTCTTAACGCCACGACTGGGTACTAACAGCGATTTACTGACTGGTGCACATCAGAATTTTTCCTTTTTTTGGAATTGAACAGTATACGCGTAACACAGTGCGTCAATCTAGCCAGGATGCACGACATACAGTTGATCGCACTTCGTGCCGAAGCGACCGCCGAACCACTCGACGCGGCCTTCGCTGTGGTTGATCTTAGCAAGGCCGTTCACCCCAGCTTGGCTGATGGCAGGCTTGGTTTGTGATAACCGCTCTGCTATGGCTTGTGGGATCACCGCAGCAACTCGTGCGGCCGTCACAACATCACGCAAACATAAACGGGACGCACCCCACTGGGATGAGACCCTAAACACAGCGATTGGTTAATTGACCCCTGTGTTAGCGGCAAAGTGGGCTAGGGCAGGGGAGAGAGAAGCCTGCAGTGGATTTGGCGAGTTGATTGGCCACTATAATCCCTCCGCAGCCCACCAGTTTGGACTCTGACGGGCAGAGCACGACTCAACCCAAAGCCCGCACTGTTAACCTCTCATACCAAAAGAAACCACTAGAAATCACTAGACGGCCTAGGGTTAAGTTCATTAAGGAAATACCAACGGGTCCTAGGTGCGCTGTGAGACTGCAGCATCAGGCATTCATCACGTTAACGACAAGAGGCAATCAACCAAACAGAACCAGCAGCGCCATCTTCCGTACTTTTCATTTCCAATCCGTTGACCCTTTCCAGGATGGAGCTCATGCGATCAGCGCCGTTGATCGTTGTGAGAACCCTGGGGGTTTGTGACAGACTAGCATTAGGTCCATTTCCTGTTCAGTTCATCCGTTCATTATAAGGCTTCCTCTAAACAGACTGAGCTCGAGACATGTCAGTGGTTAAAACGCCAGTTTACGGCCAGGAAGGTCCGGGGTTCAAATCCAATCTCAGAATCTACACTGCTCCTGTCTAGGCTTGGGCAACCTGACAGTATTCCGGTCATAATAACTCTATCCATTGGCATGGCAGCTAAGCACCGAAAGGGTTCTACAGCTGGAAGAAACAGACAGAACTGATGGTACAAAAGTCAGGATCTAATAGTTTGACAGCAGTTTTATCGAGGCTGAAGAAACTACAGTAAAACAGATCACAGTTTAACAAAAAAATTACCTAATCAGAACGACAAAGGCCTAATAAATTCTCCAGGTATGAATCCTATGGAATCGTATCTCTAAGCTGTAGATAAACCGAGTGACGAGATCCATTCCCGCAGTTAAGAAACTGGCTACGCGGAATCACCAGTTCAGTAAAAACGAAGCACTCGGAGTTGTGACCTTTCAGAATAGACTTCTATTGACTGGTCCCTCCTAAATATCAGAACATTTTGTAGAATTGACTACTTTCGACAAACCCCTCCAGCGTCCTGTCCAGAAAGAGGGGCTATAGTGATTCGAACGTAGCTGAAACAGATTACAACGGAGTCATCATCATCTCCCTCCTTAAAAAATCGTTCGGCTGTAGCACACTCTCTGGGTGCTTAGCTGCCATGCCACCCGAAGGAAGTACGAAGGCTGGGGTACTGCCAGGTTGCCCAAGCCTTGACAGAAGATGCACAGGTCGGGTTCGAACCAAGAATCTTCCGGTCAGTGAAATCGCGCTCTAGTCACTGAGCCATCTTGCCCCCCCCCCCACCACCCCAGAAGAATGGATCAGACCACATCGTCTCACGAAAGTAGCCACTAACGCGAGGAACTTACGTTTTCCAGCAGCGATTAGATCTTTCCCCGTCTGTAGTGTCACATTAGCTGTACCTTTGAGGACGATGTCCACAATGGTTCCGAAAGCATTTGAGGACAGTCGCTCAGTTGGAGAAATGAAATTCGCAGCGGCATTGTTGACAATCAGGTCTGGCACACCAAATTTGGCTCGGCATGCATCTAGAGCCCGCCGAACAGCCTCGGTATCTCGGACGTCTGCGACAGCATAATCCATGTTCTACGATGTGTGTAAAGAAGGATCGGGTTGGAGAGAAAGCTAGACGGTTGTGGTCTTTTCTTCATAACAAAAAAGTGAACTAATTGAGAAACTGTTTCAAGTGTAAGCATGCATAACTAAAGGTGCTCCGCTACACGCCACAAACAGTTCGACAAATAAACAGAAGGAAGCCAAAGTTAACCAGAATGCATCAGGCCACATTCCAGGATAGTTGGTTTGGAGCTGACTCAAGATCAGGAACGAACTTCTAACGTGCAAAGGCCATTTGAACAAGCGAGCAACTCGAAAAGGGGTAGACAGACACATACAGCAACGAAAACCGATGTCTTTTGACGCACAACAGCAAATAAGACCGAAGCGACGGATGGCTTACCCCACCAGATGTGGCCGTTAAGGACTACAATAAACCGTACGTTAAGCGTAAAAAGGATAGGTGCATTATAAATCAAACACAGGTAACCATTGTAGTGAGTGGAACGTGCTTAACAAACTGGACTAAAGTGTTATAGACCAATCGTGCAACTTTTAACAGTCCGTTAAATTGAATTAGGAACATTATGTTACAAAGCTGCATGTGAGAGGCCGTGGAAGAAGCATGTGGTGGAAAACATTCGATAATCCCAAACACTGGGGAGTCCCGAAAACAATAACTCCACTTGGTAACCGATATGAACGGACAACTGTCCAGTCTCAGACACTACTGTGTCGAAGCTCTTGATTTGACGATCGGAAAGGGACGATTAATTGGGGGCGAGATGGCTCAGTGGTTAGAGCGCAAATTTACTGACCCGAAGGTTCATGGTTCGAATCCGACCTCTGCCTCTCAACTTCCCCTGTCTAGGCTTGGGCAACCTGGCAGTATGCCAGCCCTCGTGCTTCCTTCCTTCGGGTTGCCTGTTATCAGTACAGCGCAGCTGGTGTGGAACTATAGAGGAAGGAAGAAGCAGCATGATACTATTTCCGGACCACCTGAAGGCGTTCACGTGTCCGCCTGACGCGCGACAAACTTAGTCGCCTGAGCAATAGATCAGCAATGACCATTTTTCTTTTTTTGCGTAGGTAGAATTCATTTGACATTTTGCTCTCAATGTAGCACTATCATTTGTCCGTATTACAAAATACTGCAGAAAACACCATTTCATAAATGTTCATTAAAAGGAGATATACCTTAGTTCCAATTTGGTCTTTAATCTCTTCACACGCAGACTTTAGTACCTCCTCCCGGCGACTAATGATGAATACGTTTGCGCCCAAGATAGCCAGAATTTTTGCTATGCTCTTCCCCAAACCACTACCCCCTCCGGTGACCAGAGCAGTGCGGTCAGTAAACAGTTTGTTGCGAAGCATGGAGGTCCTCTCTGCCGGAAAGAACCTACTCTCTGACCCCATCGATCGGGTAAATAAGGGCATCACGACGGCTGGGTGCACGAATAGTTTGCGAGACATGGCTTCCGTCCAGAGCTCACCACAGCGTCAGGTCAAAATTCCAACGAAAGTCTTAAGGATAATCCGGAGAAATCTGGAGTCGGAAAGGAAAGGAGTAATCGTATGTAACGCAAACTAAGGAGATTCGAAAGGAAAACTGGAAAGATTCTGAGGTGTTAGTGTTAAAAGCAGGAATTAGTCACTCAGTAGTTCCCCTCGCCCTGGACCGTCCTGTGGCTGCGGTGTGATACGCGGCAAACATGATAATCTGTGCTAATCTCCATAGGGAAAATGGCATTTAGTTTTTCACCCACGGGTCTCTTCTAACTTACCGGCTACTAATTCATTTCTTAATGCAGACTCTTATGTATCTGAAGATAACTTCCTTAGATCGGGCATCCCCAACTACCAAAAAATACTTCTTTTATTTTGGGATGTAAAGACACTTGAGGCCGACTCGTTGGTGTCGCTATATGTTGGCCGAGCAAGGTCGAACTAGACAGGCCTTGTCTCTCTGAACGTACCAATTTCTGGGCGAGTCCTGTTGTACTCGCAGGCACATATCCTCACATGGCCTGTTTTTTGGAGTAAGTGTTTCCAGATATTGTTCAAGCGAGACACGTTCGGTCTTGAGGGGAGTGAATGTAAACTTGTGAAGAGTCGTCTACCTCACATAAGGTGCTAAGAATGCTGGTTGTTTGGAGCAGGTGTTAATGGTCCAGTTCTACCGGTCGCTCCTGGTGAGTAGCGATTTGTCAATCACGTCACCAATAGAATTTCGATTCTTCATTTCATTCTTCGCCCAATGCCGCCCCTGACCATGATGCAACCGGGAGTTTTTCTCAACATCGGTCTGCGTCACCAAGGTGCTTTGAAAGGCCCGGCTACCTTTCTGGACATTTGATCTTGCGGCATGGGTGATCTAAATCTTACTTGGACTGAGTGATATTTTCTGAAAAGTAACTACGCCTTTCAACAGTTTCTGTGTCATCAGCTGAAAGTTAGTCGAGAACGAGGGTGTTTTCAGTTGGGTTTACCAACAAAGGACCATTTTAAGTGTACCATTTCTACCGTGGTCTTTAATCTCTCAGAGATGCCGAAGGTGTATTGAAACTCCGAATAAACAGGCCTGGTCCTGGCTGAAGAATGGTGACAACTTCTCAGCCTGAAACATGATTCATCAGTAATTCAGTTATGCGTAGCTTGTTGCAACGAGCTGTAATGTCTAATGAAGCCAAGGAAGGACGACAGGAATGTCACGTCTTCAGATGTCGGAATGAGGTTGGTGGCATCTGCATTCTCCGAGTCTTGATGGCGGCCATGTTCGCGCCCTTCATACATAGCACTTTAAGAAGCCGCGGAACACTATGTGTAGTCAAACTGCTTGGCCCGATAGGTTCTATGACTTTACTTAACCTTACCTTAAAATGTCTCAGCATGCAGATGTCACAGGTCATAGGTCACTAAACCCAACATTCTATATCAGGGCGACGACTGCCTGCCTTAGTGCAGGCTTTTGTCGTGAAATGAATCCGCCCAACCATGAACTTGAGCTGACATGTAGTTACCCCTCACGATGAATCGATCGTATCAGTTGATATAGAGCACGGCTGTTTCTCATAGCAAAAGCTCTCTCGATCTCCCGAGCTTTCGCTATCCACCAGAGCTCTCGGTCTTTTCTTTGGCTCTTTACTGCTTGGCGTTTGAGGAATTTGCGCGCGCCACTGTACTCGTTGCCTCCAGGTATCGATTTCCCGGCATCTATCATGGATAGCAATCTCAACATCCAGTGGGATACTACCTGGGCATCCCTTAATATTGTATCCAACTCTAGGTGTCATGCGAAAATCAAGTACACTGGAGTAGACCAGGATGTGTACTGATGGTCAGGGACTCTGAATTCCAACGACTTAGACTCAACGTCTTGTGGTCGAACAGACAGCACTGAACACAGCTAACACAACTCCTTTCATATTTTTCCACGTTTCATCCAAATGCCCACTATTACTACAATATTGGCTTACTGTGGAGAGTTGTTGGAGTAACTTAGATCCATACTGTTGAGCTGAAGATTGGCACGCTTCTTGCTGACTTGTGACGGCCTGAAGGGAAACGAACTATCAGGTGTGCACGTACCATGGCGTGATCGGAAGCAAATGATCCACCCCAGGAGGCTGATGGCCACGTGGTTCAAGTGGATCCACAGTTGATTTGCAGTTGTTGGCCGCCGGGTTACGCGATACATCATCATCATCGACACAATGACATCAGTGTTCAACACCGATGCTCTACTGCCGTACAACTGTGATTTATTTGAAAGCCTTATTGTAAAAAGAATAAAGGTGCACTGGAAAGGGACTTATGCTAGCTTACGACAATCATTCCGAAGTGCCTACAGCTCCAGATATTCACTCAGACGATCTGGATAGAAACTGGCAATAAGAACGCCACTGATATCGGTTGGCAGCCATAACTTGTAGTGTCTCCAACCAGGCACAGTGAGGATCACGCGGTCCCCATCCTGGAAGGCGAGTAGCACCGACAGCACCCAAGCGTTTCGTGATCCTATTCATACTCCTCTGCCAGGTCATGGGTTGACCACCTCTCTGTTTACGCCACTCCGAATTGGGCATGGAAGACAGTACTCTCTTCGGCAAACGATGGTTCGGCATACGTAACACATGTCCCAACCAAAGCAGCTTCTGGTGCTGGACACATTCTTCAATGGAAGTACCCGTTACACAACCGAAAACACGCTTTCTAACTGCCTCGTTACGGATTCGCTGACACCAACCCACACGAGCTATGGTTCTGAGACAACGATTGTCGAACACCTGAAGACGTCTCAGGTCCGCTGCTCGAATAGGCCAAGTCTCACAGCCATACAACAAAACAGCCCGTACTGTAGCTTGATACACACGTCCCTTCAGATTCAGGGATAAACCATTCTGACGCCATAGGTGTCTCAAGTTAGCAAACGCGGCCCGAGCCTTGCAGATTCGTGCATTCACCTCATCTGTCACACTGCAATCAGAACTAATACAACTTCCAAGGTACGTAAAACGCTCCACAACTTCCAGTACCTCTCCCTGGATTGTAAGGGGCGTGTTCAGTGACTGCACGTCCACAAGCATGACCTTACACTTTGTGGGTGCAAAATGCATACCAAAGGACGGGATGACTTTGGTCAGTTCATCCAAGAATACTTGCGCCTTCTCCTCCTCTTCGAACATGAGAACGATGTCGTCTGCATATTCCAGATCGACAAGGTTTTCTTCACTGGCTATTTGAACACCAGGGTTTTGGAGACCCTCCAGCGTTCGTCTCATTATTTCATCGATCACAAAGTTAAAAAGGAATGGAGAGAGTGAGCATCCCTGACGGACACCGCTTTGTGTGCGGAAGCTCTTGGAGAACTCTCCGTACACTCTCACACGTCCGGAAGTCTGAGGATACAAAGAACGTATTATGTTTAAAAACTTCCGGGGCATTCCTTAGTGGACAAGCATCTCAAGAAGAACAGACTGATCAACCGAGTCGAATGCGCCTCGGAGATCCAGGGGCAGTAGAATCGTGGGTCGCTTATACGTATGGTGCTGTTCTAGTACCTGACGAATTGTGAAGATTTGGTCAACGCGACCCCTTCCAGGCCGGAATCCCGTTTGCTGCTCTCGAGTCAGTGTCTCACGAGCCACCGTAAGGCGACGAAGCACAGTTGACGCCAACAGTCTCGTTACGACCGGGGTCAAGATGATCCCATTGTGGTTCCCACACTCACTACGCGCCTCTTTTTCGAAAACGGGTACTACTAGCTATTCTCCCCAGTTGTCTGGGACGGACTCCGTTTCCCAAATACAAGCAATAAGATCGGAAAAGCTCTGACTGGATACTTCAACCCCGTCTTTGAACAGTGTGGGTGGGAGGTCATCCGGACCAGGAGCTCGGTGGCGCTTGAGAGAACAAATAGAGAACATATGGAGACACTGAGCTGATTGATCTGGATAACCGGACGGTGCTAACACGACTGTTCACTGGGATCTAAGTCAGCAAAGCGTGTTCATCTATGAGACTGAGTGCAATCCCCACGCCATATATTCCACGAGTCACCGGCCACACGGAGAGAGAAGTGTGGAACAGCTGAGTTCAACCTTAGCGTTCTGAGATGTGTAACCTTAGGTCAGATAACTGGCGCTCAAATGACTCAGCGACGTGTGGTGGGTAACGGTTGGGGAGGGATATCGTCGGGCACCGAACTGCGCGGGCAAATGATACTTCCCGATCGCTCAGGCTGATGAAGGGAGTTTGGTCGAGGTACCCCATCTTGAGCCTTTGAGCCAAAAATCTTACCCATGTTCAGTGCACAGTTTAGATCAGTGGAAAAGTCTGGGCGAAATCGGACGGTTCATTTAGGCTTTTTGACTGGCATGATATCCGCGGTTCATGTCAACTGGCATGCCAAAACGTGCGGTAGAGTTATTATGTTATTTGAAATGGACTATATTTTCAAGAGTCTAAACCAAGGAGAGCGATCTCGTCCGCATACACAATATCTGTGGGCGAACATCCCAAGAGCATTTCGACTCCCGAGGTTTCGGAGGATGGCAGATAAATCCCAAACGGCACATCAATAACAAAATTGAAGCGGAAGGATTATAGAGGACTATCTTGTCTGACGCCACTGAACGTGGTGCCGTATAGTCGTGCGCGCCCATATCAGTCCTCATAAGCGTTTGGAAGAGACACCCTTAATAACCAGACAGCCATTTTCTGACGACAGTCGTCAAAATCAGACTTCAGGTGAGGAAAAGGTACCGTGGGATGTTTGAAAGTGTGACATTCAAGAACTTGTTTTACGGTGAAGATATGAGTGATGCATTTTCGGGTAGGGCAACACCGAGGTAGATTCCCTTTCTGTCTCTCTCCATAGTTGACCGACGTGCGCAAAATAATGTCGGAGTGAACCATGGACGTCAAGCTACCAGGCTGATGCTACGATGCTTTTCGCATCCTTTTTGGGACTGATCGAGCAGCTTCATTCCACTGATACTCTGTTTGCGTTTCGAATTTTCGTCATATTAATCACCACAGCCTCGCCAGCTTTGGAAGGTGCGGGCAAGGTCCATCCGGGACGAGTGCACTTTCGCGTTGGAGGAATATTTCACGCTGAATCTATCGCTGACCGCAGGTTTGCCACAATTTTCCATTTACGCCTATTAGTCTCTTTCACAAACTATGTTATAGGGAGCCAGCTGAATTGCCCTTTGAAGAGCACAGTCAATTGCTAAAGAAGACGATTTCGCGAATAAATTACCGCCCCATCTTTTCTAATTGTTGCTCCATTTGGACTTATCTTTTTTGGGCCACTTCATCTGGTCATCTGAAACATGATGCGGCTGTTGCTCGCACTGGAAGCCATCTGCTCGGCCTTCAGAAATCAACGACCGTTGTATCGTTCTTCACGTTCCTGGTTCTCTGGTTTTTGAAGGATCTGTGATACATCGCAGCCAGTAGTTGCTGTGGCTTTTCTGACAGCAATCAGATCTGCTAATCTTGACGGAACCCAGTGTGCATTTGATGCAGCCGGATGGCTTGCATCGACAATTCCAAAAGCAGCCAGTATGGACCCTCAACGGTGGAAGAACTATATAGGACCTTTGTCCAGAAAGTCCTCGAGGCTGACGCGACATTCGTCCCAAGAAGACCGGCACGCAGTCGGATGAACCGCAAGCTGCCAAAAAGGATTCGGCGACTTCTGGAAAAAAGATCCCAACTCTTTTTCAAAAAGTTGACCACAGGGGACACAGAAGATGAGCTGGCATTTCGTAAAATGCGGAATCGCTGNAGAACAAAACCGACCCGGGAAACTTGGGCAAAAGCCTCGATCCTGTGTATCAATCCGTGAAACTTTCTTCCGTGCAGCCTTCGATCAATCTTCGTCACTGACAACCACATGTTTGCAGCAGATTTCTAGCCGGATTATTTGAATACTGCTGAGCTATTGAAACTCGTGAAGGTTGGTGCGCGGCGACAAGCCGACCATGATAACCAAACATCAAGTCAATTGGACGAATAAGTCACGTGCGGCCAAGGACCAGTGAACAAATGCCCTGATTGGTCAGAATGTCAGCCAATCTGGATCGACCATCTATAGTTCAACGCTTCTCGCCCACCGACGAAGATTCTAGCGTGACACGGTGAAACTTACAATGACCCTGAGAACTCATAAGAAATCACACTAGAAGTAAGCACAAGCGCTGTAGTACTGCCAGGTTGCTCGAGCCGAGACAGGGAAAGTCAAAAGCCAGAGGTCACGGATTCACGGATTTTCACGGATTGATACACAGGATCGAGGCTTTTGCCCAAGT